CTGGAAATATAAACGCAAAGATATTAACAAGTGCATTTACAGCATAAAGGATATATATATGCACGCACACACACACACACACAAACACACATATATATGCATATATACATATATGTACATATGTATATATGTGTATATATATGTATATATATGTATTTATATTTCTACATATGTACACACACACACACATATATATATATTATATATATATATATTATACATATATATATATATATATATATATATATATATATATATATAATTATATATATATAGGTTTGTGTGTGTGTGTGTGTATGTGTATACATATATACAGATATACACATACACCTTCAATAATGCTACCTGTAAAGTGCGTATGTTGGAACTATAAACCCTGAGTAAAGCACACATTGAGGCAAACAGATGAGATTTTCTAAGAGTCTCTTAACCCAATGGTGCCGGGGAAAATGAATAAAAAATGGGGAAAATATTGTACCCACTTTCTATGTTTTTCTTGAAATGTCTGCCGATAGATGGCTCTGCTAGCGCCTGATTTAGATGGCGGGAAAAACGTATTTTTCACTAGTGCGATGAAAATCGATGGTGTTATTTTTATCATAAGCATTATAATTTTTATATATTTTTTTAACATTAGTAACAGCAAAATAAGATTACGTAAAATATTTTCGTAAATTAATGAAAAGGGTAAACAGGCGAGACTGGCAGTACTCGTAATTGGCTTATTGGTGATTTAGTAGAAGTGTAGCCATCTATGTGTAAAAACAATTAAACAAGTAAACTCACAGTGGGCATGGTATGTACATACATATGCACGTCGGGAATGGGTTAATGTACATTGTCCATAAACAAACAAATAAAAAATAAAAAGATGTCAAAACAAGCTTTCTTTTTGGAACTCAGCCTCGACAGTACTTTCAAAAATGGACAAGACGAGCACAGGGGTCAGTAGCATTGTACCGAAGAGCCACTTCCTACGGCGCGGTTAAAGTTTAAAGTTGAACAAGACGAGACACGGACTGAGAATCATCACCACTGAGCATGACAAATTATGGAAACAATTGACTATACAGACAGGTGTTGCAAGCATTGAGGCGAACGCTACCCTGTTACACTATTTATAGAGTTGTGAGCACACACAGTTTCTGAGACATGGACCACCCACCACAGCATGTAAAAAGATTATGCCGCATGTTTACATCGTGGGGGCCGGAGTGACTGCTGGGAGCCCGGACACCACGACGAGCATTCAGTAACTGTGAATCAATTGAGACAGCCATAAACAGCTGACACAGACCGGGCCTTAAGCTTAACAGAAGGACGTCAGGGAGGCCTTAAGCTTAGCAGAAAGACGTCACACATAGCTTACCTTATAAAACGGATATATGTAATCAAAAATCTATTAAATGTCAAAATATTTTCGATACATTACGAACATCATCATGACAACGTCTTAACATGTATATTATTGCAACAAAACCTTTCCCCAGTTTGTGGGTATAAAATCTGTCTAGAAATAAGACATTCTGGAGCGGTAATATCAGGTACCAAATGACTGAAGTAAGATGCAATAGTAATGGTGATAAAAAACAAAATGAAAACATTAATATATAGATAATGATAAAGATCAAAATGATAAATTAGCTATAACAGAAATTGAAAAGACAGATAATGACAATATAATAACAGCTAAATTATGGTGATTCTGGATAACAGTGATGATAAGGATGAAACAATAATTTCGAGAAAGATTGCAATCACAATGATAGTGATGATGATAACGATAACAATAATGACAATAATAGCGATAATAATTGTAATGATGATAAAGATTAAATTCTTAATAGTTATAATAATAATAACAATTACTGAGGATGATAAGGTAATGCAGGTGAACCGTGTTCATTGCGACAGATGTAGAAAAGGTATGAATGAGAATGAATTATTTTCACGGTGTAAGAGATTAGTTTTTCATACCTTTTCTACAGGGTAATAAGGGTAGTGAATCAGTAATATGTATATGTGTGTGTGTGTGTATGTGTATGTGTGTGTGTGTGTATGTGTATACATATATACAGATATACACATACACCTTCAATAATGCTACCTGTAAAGTGCGTATGTTGGAACTATAAACCCTGAGTAAAGCACACATTGAGGCAAACAGATGAGATTTTCTAAGAGTCTCTTAAGAGTAAATCTAAGAGTAAAGTTTGAAGTTTGATAAGCACACAGATAAGCCACAATAAATCTCTTATCACACTCCGATCTCGATTATGGGCACACGATCACACTTTCAAGATATGAAAAAAATGAATGTAATCTAACTAAGGATATTAAACCCATTGCCGCCGGGGAAAATGAATAAAAAATGGGGAAAATGCTGTGCTCATTTTTTATATTTTTTTATGAAATGTCTCAACGTATATGGCTCTGCCTTACCTGATTTCACCTTTCCGTGAATTGGCGGGAAAATGTATTTTTTACTAGTGTTATGAATGTTGATGGTGTTATTCTTATTATAAACATTATAATTACTATAATGTTATAATATTATAGTATAGTTTAATTTCATTTATTACTATGGCATATAATGTTATAAGCATGTAGTATAGTTTAAATAACGTAAAATATTTTCGTAAATTAATGAAAAGGGTAAACAGGCGAGACTGGCAGTACTCGTAATTGGCTTATTGGTGATTTAGTAGAAGTGTAGCCATCTATGTGTAAAAACAATTAAACAAGTAAACTCACAGTGGGCATGGTATGTACATACATATGCACGTCGGGAATGGGTTAATGTACATTGTCCATAAACAAACAAATAAAAAATAAAAAGATGTCATAACAAGCTTTCTTTTTGGAACTCAGCCTCGACAGTACTTTCAAAAATGGACAAGACGAGCACAGGGGTCAGTAGCATTGTACCGAAGAGCCACTTCCTACGGCGCGGTTAAAGTTTAAAGTTGAACAAGACGAGACACGGACTGAGAATCATCACCACTGAGCATGACAAATTATGGAAACAATTGACTATACAGACAGGTGTTGCAAGCATTGAGGCGAACGCTACCCTGTTACACTATTTATAGAGTTGTGAGCACACACAGTTTCTGAGACATGGACCACCCACCACAGCATGTAAAAAGATTATGCCGCATGTTTACATCGTGGGGGCCGGAGTGACTGCTGGGAGCCCGGACACCACGACGAGCATTCAGTAACTGTGAATCAATTGAGACAGCCATAAACAGCTGACACAGACCGGGCCTTAAGCTTAACAGAAGGACGTCAGGGAGGCCTTAAGCTTAGCAGAAAGACGTCACACATAGCTTACCTTATAAAACGGATATATGTAATCAAAAATCTATTAAATGTCAAAATATTTTCGATACATTACGAACATCATCATGACAACGTCTTAACATGTATATTATTGCAACAAAACCTTACCCCAGTTTGTGGGTATAAACTCTGTCTAGAAATAAGACATTCTGGAGCGGTAATATCAGGTACCAAATGACTGAAGTAAGATGCAATAATGATGGTGATAAAAAACAAAATGAAAACATTAATATATAGATAATGATAAAGATCAAAATGATAAATTAGCTATAACAGAAATTGAGAAGACAGATAATGACAATATAATAACAGCTAAATTATGGTGATTCTGGATAACAGTGATGATAAGGATGAAACAATAATTTCGAGAAAGATTGCAATCACAATGATAGTGATGATGATAACGATAACAATAATGACAATAATAGCGATAATAATTGTAATGATGATAAACATTAAATTCTTAATAGTTATAATAATAATAACAATTACTGAGGATGATAAGGTAATGCAGGTGAACCGTGTTCATTGCGACAGATGTAGAAAAGGTTTGAATGAGAATGAATTCTTTTCACGGTGTAAGAGATTAGTTTTTCATACCTTTTCTACAGGGTAATAAGGGTAGTGAATCAGTAATATGTATACACACACACACACACACATATATATATATATGTGTATGTGCGTGTGTGTGTGTGTGTGTGTGTGTGTGTGTGTGTGCGTGTGTATATACCTATACGCACTGCACATTCCAAATTATGTGCATAATTGTGTACAACAAGTTCCACGCCCAACCCTTTGCCACGGTTGTCACTTCATTTTAATCTCCACGTACGCATTACACTTTCCTAGATACAATTTTATTTACGCTTGTTATTATATACTGAAGTTTTTTTGTTTTTTGTTTATATATATCGTGTTAGAAAATGAAAATGCAAATGAGCCAAGAATGCGTTTAAGAAGAACATATGGCGTCCTTTTCCCTTTTTGTTGTCGCTTATAATTTGAAGGAATCTGTTTAACACAGCTGTTGAGAATATGTATTATGCACCAGCTGTTATCTATGGGAAAATGTTGATAAGAAAATACTTCTTTGTTTTTATATTCTCAACGGTTTTATGCGACATTTAAGAGGAAAAGTAGAACATATATTTACGTATATAGAAAGCTGAATAGACTAGTAGATAAACAGACAGGTGGAAAGATATCTAAACACTCAATGTCCTAATAAAAAAGTAAACAATCTGATTGCTTTTCTATTGTTTTTTTTGTATATTCTTGCTTGTCATTGTTTCCTCGTCTGAAACCAGTATTCAGCCTCCTTTCTCTATACAATATATATATTGGAGAGGAATTATTAATTTCTTATAGGATATCTGATATAAAAAAGAAGTTGGATTTGGCGAGGAATGTGGTTCGAAAACAATTCTGCTATTATTAAAGATATTATTTGAATTGACGATTATTTACATTCTTCTTAAAGATTCGTTCTGTAACTGAGCTAAAAAACAAAAACAAAAACAAAACAAAACATGAGTAGCAATTGCCCCTGTAGAGCCAGACGAAGCATTACCAATATTAATTCGATAAAAGAAAACTTTCGGTTAAACAAATAGTGCACACTCATCCACCATTATCTTTGTTACAGCAAGACA